TTCTCTCAGAACCCCGTGGTGTGGCAGATAATAGGCTGGGGTAGGTTCTGGAGAATCGGGTGCTCTCTGCATATGTCCCAAAGCCTCGTACTCATTGATAAACTCCTTGTAGAGCTGGGCATATTCCTGATTGTTGTTGAGTTTGCTGACTGTTGATTTGAGCTGTCGTGAAGCCTTGAACTTTGACTCTCCGAGCGCTTCTGCTGATGTTTTCAATGGGAGCCTCACAATGTAACGCCCTGTTGAATCTCTGCTGTGTGTTGATCTGAAGTGTTTTTCACACTCCAGCTCGTCTTGTGATAGCTCTGAGTTGTCTGAACGTTGGGCTGGTAATTCTTCCTGGACCCAAAACCTTTGTAGAAGCTCTAGTAGTCGTTCATTTCAAGATTCCCGTACAGCTGATAGGAAGACCCTCGTTGAGCGACCGGAGCAGTTGATTGGACCTGATAATATCCAACCAAATGCTGTTCGTTGGCCAACTAATCTTGACTGTTTAGACTTGACAACTTCATCTTTAATTATCTGCCCATAGTTGTCTGCCCCTATTATTATATCTATTGGTCCAGGCTGGAGATACTGTTGATCAGCTAGTTGAAGATTTTCTAATGAGCCGATGTCGACTGACTCACAGGAGAATGATGGCAGGATTGCTGTGAGTTTCTTCAAGACGTGGGCGTTGAGTTTTACTTGCTGGGGCCCGTTGATTGCTTGTAGCGTCACTGACACCCTTCCTCTTGTGTGGTCTGAATTGACGCCGCCAATTCCTATTAATTCCAACGTTTCTGTTGTTCTTGTGAGGTGCAGTTGATGTACTAATTTCTCAGAGATAAATGACACCTCTGATCATTGATCAATTAGTACTCTGGCTCTGCTAATGAATCCTTTCGGGGATTTTACTTTGACTTGCGCTGTTGCTAACAGCACTGATTGTTGATCTNGTTTCTGTTGTTCTTGTGAGGTGCAGTTGATGTACTAATTTCTCAGAGATAAATGACACCTCTGATCCTTGATCAATTAGTACTCTGGCTCTGCTGATGAATCCTTTTGGGGATTTTACTTTGACTTGCGCTGTTGCTAACAGCACTGATTGTTGATCTGCTTCTTGTTGAGTTGTTTCTGCATTCTCACTGGTCCGCTGGTTGTTGAGGTTGACTGTTGCCGTTGATGTACTGGGTCGAGCTGTTGAGAATGACCAATGAGGATGTTATTTTGTTGATTATGCTATAATTCGTTCACTCACTCGTGATCTTATCTGTACTCTGCCCTGGCTCGACTCTTGCTGATGCAGGGACATCTGTTGATTCCAAGTCACGTCGAGTTCGTGGTGGAGCGTTGGTGTACTCGCTTCCTCCATGAATTAAAGTGTGGTGGTTGCCCTGACATTGTTGACATCTTTTCGTTGAGAAACACTTCGTCTTTCGGTGAGGTCCCAGACAGCTGAAGCAGAGGCCATTGCTTATGACCACGCTGTTCCTCTATACTGGGGGCAACTCTCTGAATTTCTGGCACTCAGCGATGAAGTGTTTTTCCTTACACATGGCACAACAGTTTCTCGGAAGAAGCCTCTCAGCGTTGCTGTCTTGTTGAGTAGCTGCTGCGTAAGAGCTCTTCTTCTTCTTCAGTGATTTCCTGTCGGTGATGTTGGTTTCCTGTGTTGCATGAAGCTCTGATCCTGCGTTGATTCCTCTGCCGCAGGCTTCGACGAATCCGACGAATTCCTTCAGACTGGGAAAGTCTCTGGAGTCTCCCAGTTTCAATTCCCACTGCTTGAGGGTTTCTGCATCTAATGATCTCCTCAGCAGGTGGGCGATCCTCTGTTCAATCAAGTTCGCATCTANTTGAAAGTTTACTTGCCTGAGAATTCCTTGTTGAGTGGCTTCGGATGTCGGTGATGTATCGACTGTCGATGCGTTACCAACCGTTGACGTACTGTCGATGCGTTACCGACCATAGATGTTTGCGTTGTGTCGGTAAGGCGTCGCTTGANTTGATGTGCTGAATTCGTTGAGTACTCTGGATGTTGGCTTCGTCTTCAGTCTCGCTGATTACAACTTTCGGAATTATTGATGGTGGAAGTTCTGTCTTCGTTGGTTGTGCTGCTGTGCCTCTAGTATCTTGTTGATTATCTACGGCTTGTTTTTCAATTACGGTATCTGGATCAGACATGATGATGTAATTGAAAGGTTACTTGCCTGAGAATTCCTTGTTGAGTGGCTTCGGATGTCGGTGATGTATCGACTGTCGATGCGTTACCAACCGTTGACGTACTGTCGATGCGTTACCGACCATAGATGTTTGCGTTGTGTCGGTAAGGCGTCGCTTGAGAGGCCGCCTGTTGCTGAGCGCACTGGCCCAGCGTTGAGGTCCTTCGGCAATACTCGTATATCCCGAATTCTCGCGAACCTTTTCAACACTTTGAGACACTGATGTTTACACTTCGGATTACCGCCAAGAGAAAACAATAGCACAACTACTCTTTGTCCGTTGAGATTCTGTCCGTTGACCGACTCGTGTAGACCCCGAAAGTTCGTTACACGAGGCGTCTTTTTAAATTCACCCGAATCCGATCACACTAATTACTCCCAAATCCGGCTCGAAGGACCAATGTTTGGTGAGGAACTAAGTTTAGGGTGGATTGGGAGGTTAGAGGATCGTCCGTGTGAAATAACTGTTGAGAGTCTTGACCTAATATGAACGTTAATTTATTCTCGCGTTCAAACCACGCTTTGTCAAATTTACAAAACACCTTGTCACTAGTTGATCGTACTGAATTAGTTTTAATTGTTTATAGTTTTTACACTGTTGAGTCACTGGTTAAATGGCCAATAATTAACGTGATTCTCTTTTTATTGAATTTTTATCGCCGAGCTAATAGACGTTAATGTACTGAATATGTCTACACTCTGCGTGTTACTCAAATACGGAGTTGAAATCTAATCAAAACTGACTACTTGGCCGATCGTTTTATACTGACTCGCGTTGATTTACGGTGACTCTACTAGACCTGAGCGTTGACGCGGAAAAGACCGATGATTTTCGTAATTGGCCGAGCTTGTCGACCTTGGTCTTGGAGAGGTTGGGTTGCGTTTCAAACAAAACTTTTTTGTAGATCTTTATTTGCTCTATAAAAATGGTTTTGACAAAAATTGTGCTATTCTCCAAAGTTTCCGAGATATTCAATGAAAAATTAACAATATTCAAAATATTCAATAAAGTTGAATTTTGTCATCCTTGAATTTATTTAGACCTCTGAAATTCCGAGACTATATTTATTGGAAGTGGCTCCAGCTCTGATCCTCGATATCATACGTACATATATATATATCTTATACTGTAACTCTACGTTCATACTGTTCGAGGGACGTGACCGTGCGCATGCGGCGATCCCGTACCAAACCGTTGCGTGGTGATCACGCCACATTCGTGCCAAGCACATTGCCTGAGTAGCATCGACGAGAGACGTGCCTTAATAAACTATATATATCTATATACCAGTGTGTCTAATCATTTATTAATCACTTATCCCAATAGGTTATTGGCCCAGGCACTCTTCAAGTGCGCTCTGAGTGTGGTGATAAGTGAATAAAAAAGTAAAACTGAATTAAAAACTGAGAAAAAGGGGAACTCTGGTGACTCGTGTGGACCGGTTGAAAAGATGGTCGGCGAGGAGAAACAAAAGGATGGTGAGAGGATGGCAATGAGTAAGTAGAGTGAAAAGGAAAAACAGTGAATAAAATATAAGAATCGGAGTGGGGAAAAGTGAAATAAAATAGCGTCGTAAAAGAAATTCGGCGGGAACGGTGGGGACGCGTAGTCAAACGATGGCGGATGGCGTCGGTTGACGGGGATGATGCAACCGCGTTGAGTCGGAAATAAAATAATTGGGGTCATAAATGATCAGGGCGGACATTTAATGATGAGTTGAGGGACTGAAATCGCGATGTGATTTATTTAGGGATTGATCAAAATCGCGGAATCAAAAGGAATAAAGGGGACAAATATCAAGCAGTGGTGAGAGACTAGTTTGTTGCGGCCTAGTAAGAAAATGGAAGGGAAGGTAATACAGAAAGTAGTCCCCAAAGCAACATGCCATCGCTATGGCGGCGCGTAGTAATATCGAAATATCAAGACAGTGTCGTAACAAGAAATGCTAACGAAAAAGGGGCAAATAATCTTAAGGATTAATTTGCTGAATAAATTGAGAGAAATTTAATGAGAAAACAAATTATCTCAAGATTAATTAATTAAATAAATAAACTAACCAGACGAAAAGAAAAGAAAATATTTATAATAAAATTTCTAGATAAAAATAATTAATTTCTCTAAATTATCTCAGATAATGCATTAATGGAGTTCTGGGAAGAACTGACATACATGTTTGGACCAGACGATCTACACAGGGGTGAGGATGTCACTATAGGATGGAAAGAGTGCACTATAGTGATACAAACAGACAAACACAAATACAAGTTGGGTGAGTTGATTAGAATGATGGAAAAGGGACAGGACGAGAAACCATTAATTTAAAAAGTATTTCGAAAAGGTGCCAGTGAGAATATTGGCTAGTAAATATTTTCACAAAGTTAAATGGTAGAGGAAAAATTCGAATTAATATAAAATAAAATCAAAACAAATACTAGTCATAAAATCAAAATACGTATATGTTTAAAAGAATTGATTTTGAAATTTTATAATTTGGATGTTCTACAAGGATGATTAGAAGTAATACGTTTGATCGTACGATGTATGAAACTAATTATCCCTCGAACATAAATTGGTTTTTGAGTACAATTCTTATTTTTGTTTGAGGCTCTAATGCGGATTGAGTTTGAGTTCGGCTTTTTCAGCAGAGGAGCAATACTAGTAATTAACCATAAAATATTTAAATAAAATGAACAGGTGCAAAAATGCTGCCAAATGCTCAGTGGAGGTCCGTGGTGGACTGGCACGAGCAATATGTCGNGAACATCCAAAAATTACTACTGAGGAAAGGGAAGAGTCAAAGGACGAGGAGAGTGGGAACGAGGGTGAGAAAACTGGAAGAGTCGATGAGAAGATGGATGAGCAACAGACGAGTGGAAGTGAAGAAAACCCAGTAGTAATAAATACTCTCAAATCAGGTAAATCTAAACCCCAAGTGACAAAAATCGAATACGTGGAATCTAAAAGTGTAATAAGGAACACGATACCAAAACCCTCAAAAGATCCGGCGAAGATTAACTCTAAAAATATCAAATCTAATGTTCCAGTGGAAGAAATTTAACAATTGAGAAACTTAACAAAGTAACTGACACCCTTAAGGAGATCGCCAATCTCCAGACAAATACCCCACGGTTTATCTAGGACAGACTCAGTGACGTAATTAAAGATCTAGGTGACTTAAAAAAATAATAAGGAAGAGAGACTAACCAGAATTGAAACAAATCTGGAAAACTTAATGGTCTGGGCTGAGTCTGGAGAGTCTTCTGAAGAGATATTGAACGAGAACATTAAAGTTGTCAATGAATTAAATGAGAATGAAACGGACAAATTGGATGAGAAAACTAGGGAATTAATTAAAAATCAGGCCCGGTCGCGCGCTTCGCGCGCTCCCTCTTTAGGGTATGACCGGTAGGGGTTGGTGGAATTGGATGTGACCCATTACGGGTCGCACCAATAACTTCCCGACCATTTGTTTTTTCTTTCATTAATTTTTTTATCATGTANCATCGTTATGCACGGAAAAATGGTCTCGTTTACAAAAAAACGCTAATTTTCGACTTTTTTTCAAATGCTTTTTGGAAAAAACTGGAGAAACGCTGAGACGATCGTCTCCATAATCTAATCAGGTTCAAGTCACATGAAAATACAGCGATTAAAAAAAAAAGTCAAATCGCATCGTTTGTTCAGGAGGAATCGTGGCACAAAATTTTTGTCACAGACGTACGCACACACATACACACATCCACACATACAGACAGGGTACCTGAAAAGGGTCAGAAGTGGTTCCAAAGGTCATGAAACGTGGAGAAATGCTTAAATTTCCACATTCGATTTTCGGGGTCATTACAATAACTTCCTCCCTTCGGGTCGGGAAGTTAAAAAGCACATTAATGAATTTACATCACAATTTCTGAATCAAATAGGAGGAGGCAATCAGGATGAAAGTGTCAAATTGGTTGCTGACTCTATCAAACAAAGTTTTATGGACAAAGGGTCAGCTGTAAAAAGAAAATATAAATTAGATTCCAACACTAGATTTGAACACTTCTATGACTTCTTCAAGTCTGAGGTTAGGTCTCACAAACTTCTTCACATTCTCGAAGATAAAAGTGAATTTAAAGGAGATAAAAATGTTCTTGAAGATCAGAAATACAAAGTTAGAGATATTTTAATGAATCACATCGATAAAAATTATCATTCAAAGATTGTCAATATTCAAGATCCAATTGAAATTTTAAATAAACTAAAAGAAATAAAAAGATTTGAAAATAAAATTTCCTCGTACACCGTGAGACAGGAAATCTCAACCATGAAATATGCCATTGGTCAGACGACAGCGGCAGAGTTTTGTGAGAAGTTTGAGGAGGCCATTCGTAAATATGAAACCTCAGAAGATGCTAACCCTTTGTCCCCAGACGAAATTAGAGACGCGTTCAATAATGCAGTTATTAAAGCTGTACCAATGGTACAGTACTTGCAGTCCACAGCAAAAATAAAAGGGGAAAACCCCCCGACTTATGAACAGTTGAAACTGGTAATTATGCAGGAAGAGGCGACGAGAAAACAAACCGAACCTGGAGTGGGTGAGGTTAGGGCAGCGAATATGACCTTGAGCGAATTAAGGTGCTACAGTTGCGGCGACAAGGGTCACATTGGGAAGAACTGCCCCGGTAACGGAAAGGGGAAAATGTGCTACAAATGTCACAAGTATGGGCACACCAGGTTCGAATGTCATGAGTCGGGTGAGTTAAATTACAAGCCAGAGTCTGTACCTAGGTTAAATTATTCACGTGGTAGAGGAGGTTTTCGTGGATCTGGGAGGGCATTTGGTTTATTGAAGAGGAAAATAGAAAATAAGGACGAGAATTGGTCAAGAAATGTGAAAAGGGGTAGAATCGACAGGACGAGGGGTAGGGGAGGCTATGGATCCTCAAACTACAATGCTCAATTGAAATCAGGCAAGAAGGAGCAGAATAAAGAGTCAGGAGCAAATGATAAAGATAAGGGTAAGTCAATTATGTTCAAAACTAATAATTTATGCAAAGCCAATGCCATGAACGCAGATGTAAAAATTCAGGAAGATAAGTTTATCACAAAGTTTCTAGCTGACTCTGGGGCAACCGAACATTTAACAACTTCAAAATTGATATTTAAATCAATTGATGAAAGAAGTAAAGGAGTGATTAAATGTGCTAATAAAAATGAAAATGCAGATTTAAGAACGAAGGGAGTGGGTGAGATAGAAATAGAATTGTTAAATGGTCAGAAATTTAAGATAAACGAAGTCTTGTTTGCAGATGCTCTTCAAGCTAACTTGCTGTCATTAAGACGATTCGCGAGAAATAGGTCTCGCGATTTATCTAGATGACAAACGAATAGACATTTTCAATCCAGAGTCAAACGAATTATTTATTTCCGGTGTGTACAGACCATACTGGATAGTCGAGTTGGAAATAAATAAACAAAGTCAAGTCAATAAAAATCTACAAAGACATGTGAACAGAAGAGTTATAGTTAACATGGTAGGTGATAATGCAGAAATAAAAAGACAGATGACTAGAAATGTTACAGCAAGGTTAAATGAAGAATCAAACAAAAATAATTCAATTGAAAATAATGACAGGAGCAAGGATTTGCTAAAAGAAGTTAAAAATAATGAACTGGATGAGGTAGAGACTAGTGAAAGTTTAAAAACTAAAATTCTGTCTAAGCCAGCTCTTGATCAACATATACAATCAAACTTTGATTTTTCAATTTCGGACAGAAAGTTAAATAATGCAGATGAATTACGATTTGAAACTAGTACTGGAAGTTTTGATACCTTTACAGACGAAAAAGATAAAATACAAGAAAATTATAAAGCCTTGCTGTGGCACGCCAGATTTGGACATGCGCCAATAGCGTATCTCAAAGCTATTCAATTAAAATTTCCTAATAATAAAGAATTAAAGGATGTGATTTTTGACGAGTCTCTTTTGGATTGTGAGGTTTGTATGGCGTCAAAATTTAACAGATTGCCATTCCCCAAAGTAAGAAATCGAGCAACTGAACCCTTGCAAATAATACATTCTGACGTGATGGGACTAATAACCCCAGCCTCACATCCGAAAGAATACAGGTTTATATCAGTATTCATAGATGACAAATCCAGATTCGCCATGGCGTATCCAATGAAAACTAAAAGTCAAACTGGTCAGTGTTTAGAAATGTTTGTTAGGAATGGTAGAAATCTACTGGGTCATGATGCGAAGGTTTGTTATCTTAGGTCAGATCAGGGTACTGAATTTACTGGAGGTCAGACAATCGAAGTGTTGAAGGGTTTGGGTGCAGAGTTACAATTGGCAAGTCCTGACACTCCTGAACATAATGGGGTCGCGGAACGGTTTAATCAGACAATTCAGAAAAAGATTCGAGCGTATATGTTTGATGCGAAATTACCTGAGCACATGTAGGATCTGGCTCTGTCCGCTGTTGTATACGCGTACAATCGAACTCCTCACAAATCGAATGAGATGAAAACACCACTGGAAGAGTTTGCACCAGGACATAGTTTCGAAATTAATCAAATTAAAAGATTCGGCAGTTTAGCGTACATGAAAGTGCAGAGGAAAACTGGACCGAAATTCAGGGCAGTAGGTATGAGGGGTGTCTTGGTAGGATATACAGCTACGGGTTGTATTCTGCTAAGACCCGAGGATGGAAAATTCTATGAAAGTAGACATGTGAGATTCAATGAAAAGAAAGTCTATGGTGATAAATATGGTAGAAGTGAAATTGAGGTTTCTCCTGATGGTCAAGAAGTAATAAATAAAAGTGATTGGTTTGTAGTCTTTGATAAGAGTGCGAATGATCTGGAAGGGGTATTAAAACCGGAGGGAGTATCTAAGAGGAATAGAGGTAGACCTAAGAAGGTACACCCAGGGTCAGAAATAAGAGAACAAATTAAATCATCTAGCGAAACAGATCTCCCGAAATTACCAATTGATGAGAACTTGAATTCAGGATTACTTTTGGCGTGTTTATCACAGGGTGAGGATGAAATAGGCTTGGACAATTCAACTGGCGAGATATGTCATGCTCTTCTGGCTGACATAAATTCAGATCCGATAAGTTTTAAAGAAGCTATGCAAAAAGTAGACAAGAATGACTGGGCTGCAGCAGTAGAGGACGAGTTAAATTCAATGGATAAAAATAAAGTCTGGAAAATCGTAGATAGACCCATCAGTAACAAAATAGTTCAGAAAGCTAATATAATTGATTCAAAATGGGTATTTAAACGTAAACTAGAAGCAGCCGGGAAAATAAGACATAAAGCCAGACTAGTCATTCGAGGGTTTAAAGATCGAAATGTTTACGAATTACGAGAGACTTATGCACCAGTATCAAGAATGAATTTGGTCAGGGCCGTATTTGCAATTATTAACAAATATGATTTAGAAACATGTCAACTAGATGTAAAGACGGCATTCTTAAATGGTGAAATCGATGAGGAATTTACATGGAGATTCCTGAGGGAACTCCACATTCGGATCTGGATAGGAAGACGAAAGTCTGTAAGTTGGTAGGTCTCTCTATGGATTTCGAATAAGCCCAAAACGTTGGAACAGAAGATTCACTANAACTAAAAGTCAAACTGGTCAGTGTTTAGAAATGTTTGTTAGGAATGGTAGAAATCTACTGGGTCATGATGCGAAGGTTTGTTATCTTAGGTCAGATCAGGGTACTGAATTTACTGGAGGTCAGACAATCGAAGTGTTGAAGGGTTTGGGTGCAGAGTTACAATTGGCAAGTCCTGACACTCCTGAACATAATGGGGTCGCGGAACGGTTTAATCAGACAATTCAGAAAAAGATTCGAGCGTATATGTTTGATGCGAAATTACCTGAGCACATGTAGGATCTGGCTCTGTCCGCTGTTGTATACGCGTACAATCGAACTCCTCACAAATCGAATGAGATGAAAACACCACTGGAAGAGTTTGCACCAGGACATAGTTTCGAAATTAATCAAATTAAAAGATTCGGCAGTTTAGCGTACATGAAAGTGCAGAGGAAAACTGGACCGAAATTCAGGGCAGTAGGTATGAGGGGTGTCTTGGTAGGATATACAGCTACGGGTTGTATTCTGCTAAGACCCGAGGATGGAAAATTCTATGAAAGTAGACATGTGAGATTCAATGAAAAGAAAGTCTATGGTGATAAATATGGTAGAAGTGAAATTGAGGTTTCTCCTGATGGTCAAGAAGTAATAAATAAAAGTGATTGGTTTGTAGTCTTTGATAAGAGTGCGAATGATCTGGAAGGGGTATTAAAACCGGAGGGAGTATCTAAGAGGAATAGAGGTAGACCTAAGAAGGTACACCCAGGGTCAGAAATAAGAGAACAAATTAAATCATCTAGCGAAACAGATCTCCCGAAATTACCAATTGATGAGAACTTGAATTCAGGATTACTTTTGGCGTGTTTATCACAGGGTGAGGATGAAATAGGCTTGGACAATTCAACTGGCGAGATATGTCATGCTCTTCTGGCTGACATAAATTCAGATCCGATAAGTTTTAAAGAAGCTATGCAAAAAGTAGACAAGAATGACTGGGCTGCAGCAGTAGAGGACGAGTTAAATTCAATGGATAAAAATAAAGTCTGGAAAATCGTAGATAGACCCATCAGTAACAAAATAGTTCAGAAAGCTAATATAATTGATTCAAAATGGGTATTTAAACGTAAACTAGAAGCAGCCGGGAAAATAAGACATAAAGCCAGACTAGTCATTCGAGGGTTTAAAGATCGAAATGTTTACGAATTACGAGAGACTTATGCACCAGTATCAAGAATGAATTTGGTCAGGGCCGTATTTGCAATTATTAACAAATATGATTTAGAAACATGTCAACTAGATGTAAAGACGGCATTCTTAAATGGTGAAATCGATGAGGAATTTACATGGAGATTCCTGAGGGAACTCCACATTCGGATCTGGATAGGAAGACGAAAGTCTGTAAGTTGGTAGGTCTCTCTATGGATTTCGAATAAGCCCAAAACGTTGGAACAGAAGATTCACTAAAGTTGCTCTTAGCGTTGGTCTTGTTAACTCTGATCTGGAGCCTTGCTTGTTTACTTGGAGTCTTGATAATAAACTTTTGATCTTGCTATTGTATGTCGACGATATTATAATGGCAAGCAATGATAAAAGTAAACTTGAAGAAGTTAAAACAGCCTTGAGTTATGCATTTGAAATGACAGTGTTAGGTGAACCTACAGAATTTTTGAACATATCAATTAAACGCTATCGCGAAAGCAAAATTCTTAAATTGAGTTAAGAAAATTATGTACAGAAATTATTAATTAAATATGGATTTGAGGATTCCCATCCTCCAAGAACTCCAATGTTGACAACACAGGCGTCTAACCACGAGCGAAAACAGAGAGAGCATGATATTGATCGTGAGATTTTTGTTCCACGAAATGAAAAAATGAATTGTCCATATAGAGAGGTTGTTGGTAGCTTGTTATATCTGGCCAATACGACAAGACCGGATATTTCCTATGCAGGCAATGTATTAAGCAGACACCGGATCAATCCAACAGATGAGGATTGGAAAATGGTTAAAAGAGTACTGAGGTACTTGAGAGGTACGTCTGCTCTGGGTCTGAGATATGCAGGTGAGACTGACGCGATTGAAGCATACTCGGATGCTAGTTTCGCTGACTGCAAGGGATCTCTGACAACGTGCGGTTATGTAATTAAACTGTATGGTGACACAATCATATGGAGAACTCATAAACAATCGTACGTTGCTCTATCTACTTGCCAGGCTGAATATGTCGCGATGAGTGAAGCGAGTCAAGAGTTGTTATCTATCTTCAACTCTTTAAAACTAATTTTTCCACCCCAGTTGCCAATGACGTTGTGGTGTGACAACATGGCAACGACGAGTAGCACAGAAATTAGTGGGGGGAATAAATTAAGACATATAATTGACGTGAAAGCTCACCACATCAAAGAATGTGTGAAGCTTAATCTGATAAAAGTTAAATAGATTAGTTCAAGAAATCAATTAGCCGACGTGTTTACTAAACCCCTGGCGTTTGAATTGCATAAACGCCAAGTTGATAAAATAATGAATGTAAATATTTAACTGCTGTTTATACGTGTGTTTAGGGAAAAGGAAGAAGTAGATGATTGAGAAACTCCAAAGAAACTGTGGATTCAGATGCAGTCGGGAGGGAGTATTGGAAGTGGCTCCAGCTCTGATCCTCACCTATCATATATATATATATATATATATATATATATATATATAT